GGGGAAATAAGGGCCCGGGTCAGTAGGGGGCCCCATGAAATGCCCCTGGTACCTTTTATAGGCTTTTTTGGGTGTGCTTTGAGTGTGAGCAAGGACACAGGGGCCCCATGATCCCCTATTGGCCGGGGGCCCCATAAGTTGTCAGTCCGCCCCTGGGAAGTATGTATTCTGAGAGCAGAGGAACACAACAGAGGTCTTCCTTATGTCCATCAGAAGATGGAAGGGTTGTCTACGTGTGGTTGGGGGCCAAGCTCAGATATCTACGAGGAGATGGCACCAAATCCTGGCCAATCCAGACTGTACAGCCTATTGTTATATTCCCTATAGAGAACCAGGGAGGGGTGGGGACTAAAAAAAACATTATTTTTATATACCGCCTGCCAGGGAACAACCTTGAAGGGTCTCAAACAATAAGAACATGAAGTCATCTACACAAACAGAACTTGTAACCACCTCACAACGACACCCGAGGATAATAAAAAAAAAAGTACATCCATACGGATCCTCCTCGGAGAACAATCAAACCTGGAAATATCTGCGCGTTCCATATACGCCTAAATATAGCGGGGGAAATATATCGGTGAAACGGTTCTTCGAGGTATTTCTGAAATGACAAAAATGTGTATTTTCTTCTCGGATGTTGTGAGCGGCTCTGGCATGCTGATGACATGATAAAATCTTATAACTTTTTTTTTTTTTTTTAATTTTTATTTTGGTAGTCGAGGGGTTTTGGCCCGCTGGGAAGGAACATTTAATTGTATTAACTGATTAACATCCTGTTTACTGCCGCAGAGTAATAAAACATCTAAATCTGGCCTCAGCGCTGCGACGGTGGAATTCCGACTTCAAACACTGTGTGAACGTCGCTCGAACATCCACGGAAAAAACAAACATCGCCGTTCACAACGAGTAAACAATGCGAGGAAGAAAGACTCAACGCTGAGACGAGAAATGAGGAAAGGAATGAAAATGATCACTTACCACCACCTAATTGGGATGTGACCATATCTTTGAATGGAGGGGGAGGGGGAAGTCAAATTATAATCTGTTTATTTTTATTTTGCAGATTATTTTTATTCTGTAATATCGGAAGAAATTTTTTTTGCTATATTATTATTCATATTGTTATGATTTTATTATCATCATTATCCTTTATTGTTTTAGTAATATTATTATTGTTTATCATTATTACTTTTATTGTTTGTATTACATTTTTTTATTATTAATAATATTACTTTACTACAGTTTACTACAACTAAATTTATTATTCTTTTTATTATTATTTGTATTATTATTATTACTGTGGCAGCTCTTATTATTTTACTATCACCATTAATATGATTATTATCATTTTTATGTTTGTTATATATATACACAGTGGGGATCGAAAGTTTGGGCACCCCAGCTAAAAATTTGTATTAATGTGCATAAAGAAGCCAAGGAAAGATGGAAAAATCTCCAAAAGGCATCAAATTACAGATTAGACATTCTTATAATATGTCAACAAAAGTTAGATTTTATTTCCATCATTTACACTTTCAAAATAACAGAAAACAAAAAAATGGCGTCTGCAAAAGTTTGGGCTCCCTGCAGAATTTATAGCATGCACTGCCCCCTTTGCCAAGCTGAGACCTGCCAGTGTCATGGATTGTTCTCAATCATCGTCTGGGAAGACCAGATGATGTCAATCTCAAAGGTTTTAAATGCCCCGACTCATCTGACCTTGCCCCAACAATCAGCACCATGGGTTCTTCTAATCAGTTGTCTAGAAAACTGAAACTGAAAATAGTTGACGCTCACAAAGCTGGAGAAGGCTATAAGAAGATAGCAAAGCGTTTTCAGATGTCAATATCCTCTGTTCGGAATGTCATTAAGAAATGGCAGTCATCAGGAACAGTGGAAGTTAAAGCAAGATCTGGAAGACCAAGAAAAATATCAGACAGAACAGCTCGCAGGATTGTGAGAAAAACAATTGAAAACCCACGTTTGACTGCACGATCCCTCCAGAAAGATCTGGCAGACACTGGGGTTGTGGTACACTATTCCACTATAAAGAGATACTTGTACAAATATGGTCTTCATGGAAGAGTCATCAGAAGAAAACCTCTTCTATGTCCTCACCACAAAAATCATCGTTTGAACTTTGCAAATGAACATAAAGACAAGCCTGATGCATTTTGGAAACAAGTTCTGTGGACCGATGAGGTTAAAATTGAACTTTTTGGCCGGAATGAGCAAAGGTACGTTTGGAGAAGAAGGGGCACAGAATTGAATGAAAAGGACCTCTGTCCAACTGTTAAGCATGGGGTTGGATCAATCATGCTTTGGGGTTGTGTTGCAGCCAGTGGCACAGGGAACATCTCACGAGTAGAAGGAAAAATGGATTCAATAAAATTTCAGCAAATTTTGGATGGTAACTTGATGCCATCTGTGAAAAAGCTGAAGTTAAAGAGAGGATGGCTTCTACAAATGGATAATGATCCTAAACACACCTCAAAATCCACGGGGGATTACATCAAGAGGCGTAAACTGAAGGTTTTGCCATGGCCTTCACAATCTCCTGACCTCAACATCATTGAAAATCTATGGATAGACCTTAAAAGAGCCGTGCGTGACAGACAGCCCAGAAATCTCAAAGAACTGGAAGACTTTTGTAAGGAAGAATGGGCAAAGATACCTCAAACAAGAATTGAAAGACTCTTGGCTGGCTACAAAAAGCGTTTACAAGCTGTGATACTTGCCAAAGGGGGCAGTACAAGATATTAACTCTGCAGGGGGCCCAAACTTTTGCAGACGCCATTTTTTTGTTTTCTGTTATGTTGAAAGTGTAAATGATGGAAATAAAATCTAACTTTTGTTGACATATTATAAGAATGTCTAATCTGTAATTTGATGCCTTTTGGAGATTTTTCCATCTTTCCTTGGCTTCTTTATGCACATTAATACAAATTTTTAGCTGGGGTGCCCAAACTTTCCATCCCCACTGTATATATATATATATATATATATATACACATACATACAGTATACATATATATTTATATGTATTATTATTATTCAGGATTTATATAGCGCCAACAATTTGCACAGCGCTTTACAATATAAGGGAGACTGTTAATATATACTGTAGGTGTATATATATGTAATTATTATTTTTATTATTATACAGGATTTATATAGCGCCAACAGTTTGCTCAACAATACAAGCGGGTTAGGAGGGCCCTGTTCCTTGGCGCTTACAATCTAAGAGGGAGGAGATATATATGTATAGTGTTTTTCACAATTATTATTATTCAGAAAATATTAAATGTAATGCTGATGATAATAATAATATTAATATTAATGATGATAATAAAATAACAAGAGAGCTGCCATAGTAAGATGGTAATAATAATATTTAAAAAAATCATCATTTTACTTTTAGTAATAATACACATAATATATTGATAATAAAAAAATAATAATAATTTAATACCAAAAAAATGAATAATGATGATAAATAACAATATTAAATAAATTATAAAACATAATGATAAACATAATAACATTAATATTAATGATGATTAAACATAAATAAGAGAGCTGCCATAGTAAGATAGTAATAATATTAACTCGAATAATAATTTTACTTTTAGTAATAATACAAAGAATATATTAATAATAATAATAATAATAATTTAATACCAACAATAAATGAATAATGACAAAAATAACAATAGTAGTAAAATAAACATATTGATAGAAAGAGCACATGCGTGGGCGGCCAGAGCTGATGTGCTGCAGACCTCTCCGCACACTCCCGACACTTCAGGCGTGATTAATAGCGGCCCCAACTCTCCTGCACCCCCCGGTACACACAGTGCTTGCTGGGAAGGTGGGGGGCTCTTCTTATGTCCACCTGACTGGCCAGAAAGTCCTCGGGTGGATCCCGCACCACAGCTAAGGGGGCAGGCAGGGGAGGCAAGATGGCGCCTGGCGCCGGCTCCAAGGCCTCCTCGGCTGCTGAAGGAACACAGCGGCGGTCACAGGGGACAGTATCTCCTTCCTCCAACCCTGAGCATCGGGATGACAGCTCCTTCAGAGCCATGGATCATATGAGTGATCTCCTTGCACCTCCTGGCTCCTTCCATAGTCCTCCTGGGTCTCCTTCACAGGCCGCAAACCTATCTCCAGGCCATGATTCCCAAGCTTCCCCCCTGTTGGATATCATTATTAGTCAAACCGGTAGCCAAGACTCCACGAATGATGGCCCAGTGGGTTCTCCTGCCTTTCCTCCTGCACCCCCCGCACTACTCCAGGGATTCCATACTCATCGCAGGTGTTGCTGATTTACAGCAGCGGGAACTAGATAAAGCTACCACTAAGTTGGCCTCTGACCTGAAACAGGACTTTCAGGAATTGGGAGATCGCCTCGAGAAGATTGAATCGAAAGTTGATGATACGGATCATAAAGTAACTCCAAATTCTAGCATGACTGCCGAATTACAAGACCGCATGGATGGCTTACAATGAAATAGACGATCTTGAGAATCATGCAATTATCGAATTAGAGGGTTGCCGGTAAAAGATATTGCTTCTATTGCCCGTTCCCTTGTACATGGTACATAGATACATAGATCGTAGCCACAGGGCTTTGGTCCCTTTGTGGCCGGACAGCCCTCCTCGGGACATAATAGTGAAGCCTCACTTTTCCAGGGTCAAGGAGGCGGTGATGCGTTACGCTAGGAAACAACCAGATTTAGAGGTTGACGGATTCAAGTCTTCGCAGACATCTCTCAAGCTGCCATCCAAAAGAGGAGGGTCTTTAAACCACCTCCCACCCGGGCCGTTGTATATAAATGGCCTCCCCGCCCCTTGCTTGTGCGCGCTCCCTGGAAGCGTGCAGCATCGAGATCCGGTGCCCGCTGTGTCCTCCGGACACAGTGGAACACCAATCATCATACGGGACCTCTGTGCAAGGTCCTGATCATGTGATCACTGATTGGCCAATCAGTGATCACATGCAGAGTAGTAAGCATGATGTCACTTCTGACATCATTACTTACTACGTGTGAAATCTGTGAATGATCACCGATATCACATGGTACAGGGCTATTCACAACAGCCTTGTACCATGTGACAACGCTGTGACCAATCACAGCTCTCACAGTATTTCTCAATGGCTGCAAGAATGCAGCCAGAGAGAAGGAGAAATTTTTGCTTTTACAGCATTTATGGGTGTAAAAGCAATCCGTGTAAAAAAAAAAAAAATCTTCATCACCCCCCACAAGTAGTACAGTGTCACTATGGTGACACTGTATTGCTAGGGTGGCAGTCTGTAAAAAAACAAAAAACAAATAATAATAATAAAAAATAAAATAAAATTTTTAAAAAGTGTTTTAAAAATTATAATTCTGGTTATTTATAAACTAATTTGGGTTATTTTTTATTTTACTGAAAAGATAACTGAATAAATTTTGGCCAAGATTTATGATTAAATATTATTTATTTGCAAAATTTTATAAGAAAAACACTTTTTTTCAACATTTTTGGACATTTTCATTTTACATAGCAAAAAAAAAAATATAAATCCCAGTGGTGAATAAATACCACCAAAATAAAGCTTTATCTGTCTAAAAAAAAATCCTAAAGAATTCATATGGGTACAGTGTTGCATGACCGCGCAATTGTCATTCAAAGTGTGATAGCGCTGAAAGCTGAAAATTGGGGGGGGGTGAAAGTGTCCGGACTGGAAGGGGGTGAAAGTGTCCGGACTGGAAGGGGGGGAGAAGTGTCCAGACCGGAAGGGGGGAAAGTGTCCGGACCGGAAGGGGGTGAAAATGTCCGGACTGGAAGGGGGGGGGAAGTGTCCGGACCGGAAGGGGGGGAAAGTGTCCGGACCGGAAGGGGGTGAAAGTGTCCGGACTGGAAGGGGGGAAAGTGTCCGGACCGGAAGGGGGTGAAAGTGTCCGGACCGGAAGGGGGGGGGAAAGTGTCCGGACCGGAAGGGGGGGAAAGTGTCCGGACTGGAAGGGGGGGAAAGTGTCCGGACTGGAAGGGGGTGAAAGTGTCCGGACTGGAAGGAGGTGAAAGTGTCCAGACCGGAAGGGGGGGAAAGTGTCCGGACTGGAAGGGGGTGAAAGTGTCCGGACTGAAAGGGGGTGAAATTGTCCGGACTGGAAGGGGGGGGGAAAGTGTCCGAACTGGAAGGGGGGAAAGTGTCCCCGGACTGGAAGGGGGTGAAAGTGTCCGGTCTGGAAGGGGGTGAAATTGTCCGGACCGGAAGGGGGGGGAAAGTGTCCGGACCGGAAGGGGGGGAAAGTGTCCGGACTAGAAGGGGGGGGAAAGTGTCCGGACCGGAAGGGGGTGAAAGTGTCCGGACTGGAAGGGGGTGAAAGTGTCCGGACCAGAAGGGGGGGGAAAGTGTCTGGACCGGAAGGGGGGGGAAAGTGTCCGGACTGGAAGGGGGGGAAAGTGTCCGGACTGGAAGGGGGTGAAAGTGTCCGGACTGGAAGTGTCCGGACTGGGGGGGGGAAAGTGTCCGGACTGGAAGGGGGGGGAAAGTGTCCGGACTGGAAGGGGGGGAAAGTGTCCGGACTGGAAGGGGGTGAAAGTGTCCGGACTGGAAGGGGGTGAAAGTGTCCGGACTGGAAGGGGGGGAAAGTGTCCGGACTGGAAGGGGGTGAAAGTGTCCGGACTGGAAGGGGGTGAAAGTGTCCGGACCGGAAGGGGGGGAAAGTGTCTGGACCGGAAGGGGGGGAAAGTGTCCGGACTGGAAGGGGGGGAAAGTGTCCGGACTGGAAGGGGGTGAAAGTGTCCGGACTGGAAGGGGGGGAAAGTGTCTGGACCGGAAGGGGGGGAAAGTGTCTGGACCGGAAGGGGGGGAAAGTGTCCAGACTGGAAGGGGGGGAAAGTGTCCGGACTGGAAGGGGGGGAAGTGTCCGGACTGGAAGGGGGGGGGGAAGTGTCCGGACTGAAAAGTGGTTAAACTGCTACTCTCACCGTTAATCCAGAGGGATATCCGCTACCGATGGAACAATCCACTTTGTCTACAATTTCTTTATGACGGCAAATCCAACTCCTTCTCTACATTTCTCGAGGAGGGGAAGAATCTTGCTGAACTTGGGCTTTATCTCCCTTAGCCCCTCCTCGAGTTAATGGACCCCCCCCCCCCCCCCCGCTCTCACCTTTACGTTCTCCCATCTCCAGGAAGAAATCCGCAACTGCAACATCACATCTCTCTATCTCCCATCTGATCAATGTTTATAAACAATGTTACTTTGTATCTCCCGTCTGATCGATGTTTATAAACAATGTTACTTTGTATCTCTCTATCTCCCGTCTGATCAATGTTTATAAACAATGTTACTTTGTATCTCTCTATCTCCCATCTGATCAATGTTTATAAACAATGTTACTTTGTATCTCCCGTCTGATCGATGTTTATAAACAATGTTACTTTTTATCTATCTCCCGTCTTGTCGTAATGCAATATATGGCCTGGTCAGGAAGGGAGGTAAA